TGTATTCCGTTACTCCCCAACACTGCATATGTCAGTGTAACAGCAAAATACAGATAAATTTGTTTCTAATCAACAACAAAGTACGGTTGTTATCACAGTCAGGCTGGGTTTTTTTTATCCGTTGTTACTTCCTTTCTTTTGCTCAAGTTAAATCTGGATCAGATTGTTTCTAGATTTGTAATATTTAAACATTTTATGCAGAAACACTCAAAATATTCAGATTAATGGAATTCCTGAGAGCCGTACATTATTGCAGAACATTACATTGCATTGATTGGAAGTGGACAAACACTTATCCTTGCCACACTTATCGGCCAGGTCCAAGTTTTATGAGTAGTGGATAAAAAAAACATTTTTATGTCTAGGAATATCACAACAGCATACATAAACACAGATCAGGGGTCTTAAGTAGCACCTCTGAGTCTTCTGTAAGTGCACACATATTTTTTCAAGTTTCACTGAGAGGAATAACGCGGGGAGTTTCTGCTCATGTTTTCCCAGAGCATCTCTGTCAAGCGTGCACCTGCACCGGTTCCCTGGATTAAACCCGGGGACCCCAACCCACCGGGCAGCCACACCCGGCAACCGAGCGAGATCAAGACTGAGAATGAGCAATTCAGCTTACTGGATAAGGTATGTCAAGCCTCCTACATATTATAGTGACAGTGTAAAGTGTTTGCTTTCAATGCTACAGTTTATATGATGTCTACGTGTAATGACAGCATGCTCAGGAGCTGTCGGAGCTTCGCCTGGGCATAGAGCAGGTGACGGAGCGCGAACTGGACATGGCTAAGCGCCTGGAGGACTTCATCATCCAAAGTCAGGACCAGAATGCAATACTGCAGGAAGAGGTCAACGAGCTCAGGAATGTGCTGGCTATGCGCGAGGAGCAGCTTGCCAGCGCCACCTTCAGGTTAGTCTGTGCATTAATGTGTGTGTGTGTGTGTGTTCCATTTGAAAGTAAACACAAGGTGTGACTAAAGAAATTGAAAAAATCTTTATCCAGTTTAAATTTGGAGGATCTCATACTTTAAACCAGAAGGTCGTGCATCTCTGGACAGTGTTGAGAGCACCTACTATTTTAGATCTCTCAGTGACAGTCATGTTCGATCAGCTTGCACTCGTGCAGTGGGATCTCCCTCCATGTGTCAAAATCTTCTGACCTCTGAATCCTCTTTCTCACACTACACAAAAAGCTGCACACTTGTAAATCGTGCTCATGCACCGCTACAACTGCTCCAGAGCACTGGCACCAAGGCATCATCCTGTCTTCCCTAAAGTACTGCACCTAAATTCTATAGCTACCTAAGATTTGATCCCACAACGAACCAATCAGTGTTGAGCACACACATTTAAAAGCACACTCTATCTGAGCTCGTAAACTGTGGACTCTTACTTACTACAACTAGACGCCTAGCTCTCATCAGCATTGATTATTCTCCACATTTAATTCATGTCAGTTTTAAAAAGTGTTTGGTCTCTAGAAAGGTCAAGACCGAGGTGACCACACGCAGAAGATCAGCCAAAATTGAAATCAGGAAAGAGTTTTTAGATTTGAGTTTTTTATCGATCAGTTCTCAGAACGTTTTGATCACACCTCATATATTCTGTTTTTAAAGCATGCATTTTGTTTGTGCTTTATCCTGTTCAATCTGCAACCTCAGTGTTTCTCTCTTAACAGCATGTCTTCTTATCTGTGTGTTTTGCAGGCTGGGTGTGATTGAAGAGGAAAGGGAGGAAGATGAGAGGAAGCTGAGTGTTGCCATTGCAGCAGCCGAGAGAGTGAATGTGCTGGTAAGTGAGATGAAGAAAGTCCACTGTCAAAGAACAGTGCTTGTAAATAGTTCACTTCAAGATCCACATTTTTATTCTCCTGAACCCCACAGAGCAGTGTGCGCTGGTGCTCCCTGGTGGGCTATGATGGTACTGCAGGTCACCTGCCTTGATTTGATCTA